AGGCCGGGCTTTACAGCTAATAGGAAAGCAGGGTAAGAAATCCCATTTCGTCCACTTTCCCCACTCAACATCTACATTTTTAGCCAGTTTGCAGACATAGTGATGAAGATGGTTAACAGTTCTTTAGAGGGCAGAAACAGCATTCCTTCTCAAACAACAGTGTTTCTTCTTGGTTTTTTTCATTGAGAACGTGTTAGTCTCATCTGCAATGAGCTATGCAGTCATTCTGTTGATGTTGCCTCTTTTGGGGACTGCTTCTTCCATAACTGTTAAATTGCAAAAAAATAGCCATGTAAATATCCTTTGTTTTAACCAGAAAGAGATTTCCTTGTTCTTTAATTACATAGAACATTATTTCCTTTACATTACTTTTAATCCTTTTATTTTAGGTTTCTCGCCCAAGCCATTATGCTTATGCTTGTCCTGAATTCAATCAAAAGAAAATGAGCACCCTTAAACAAACAATTATTCTTATCAGGTGCATGTCTAAGATACATAGAATACATCAAATCACTTGTCACCAATAGAAGAAAGTTCTGATTATCTTTGAAGACCCAGCATTTGAAGGGATGCAAATAGGTGAACTTCATATCATTTTACTAAAATGTAGTGTCTCTAGAACTGAAAGACTTCTGTATTGAATCTGTTTGGAACTTATACAGAAGTTGTGTCAATGGTCTGCCTCCATGGATTCTTCAGAATAGAAACTTTCAAAATGTGGACTAAATTCTTACCTTCTAGTGCTCTGTTTTTTCCATAACACAATAACTAAACACAGGATGGAAATGAAAATGTACTATTCCCTTTATAAGCTCCAAAGTTGTTATTTAGCTAACCTAGACCCACAAAAATGCCATAACTTCTTTCATTATTCATGAGAAGAGTAAGGTGGAATGCTTTCAGATTTAAATACCCTTATATCTCAATAATCAGTGCTTTATGCCAGTATAGCAATATTGATTCCTGGCCCATTTTTCTCTGACATATTGAAGGAAATTTTTGCAATTCTTTCACCCACACAGTTGGTGATGGAAAGTTGGAGAAATGAACATGTCAAGGACTTCAGAGCTGAACAGAAATGTAAAATAATGAAAAATCCCCAAAAAGAAAGAAAAGAAACTAGAACTAGTAGAAAAAATATTATAGATTTGAAGATAAATAGAAGAAAAGAAGGTTTACAAATTAAGGAAATTGAAACACTGCTGTAGCTGTAATATTGTTCTATTCATTTTAGTATTACCTTACCTTCCAAACCCTGAGTTTCAGTTTCTTCTATAGCCTTGTCTGTCTGATTCAATCTTCAGAATTTCTTCCTTTGTACTTGATTGTATCACAGCTATCCAAATGAAGTTATGTGCCTGGACTGAGGTTCCTAAGGGAGTACCTTAGTAATACTGAATAGTAATAGAGTTGAAAACTGAGAAGAAAGACAGAAAAGGAGAAATAAAAAAAATAAAAAGAATGTTGAAGAAAGAAGGTCCCACGTTCTACTTAGGCTCCTTAAGCACTCACACACCTCCCCCTGCCATAAATTTGTAGGAGAAATGAAAAGATTACATACAAGCCATTTTCACTATTCTTTACAGACATCTTTTTCCATTGAAAGACCTTGTCTTCTTTTAGCTCAGCTATTATGCTTTCCCATTAATTTTTTAAAGAGGCATAGCTCTGTAAAACCCAGTGCATTTGTCGTAAACAAGAACTCAGCTGTGACAGGCAAGCCAGATTATATATCTAAAGTGTAATTACTGTATTGGTAGCCTGGTAATGATACCTGCTGCATTCAGCATTTCCACAGGATTTGTCGTTTATTGAAGCATATATTATGCTTCCAAGGCCCTACATTAAGTCTTACATTCTACTACAGATCACATTGTAGTTTCAGATTAGTTTGAGTTAGGAAAGGTACCAGGAATTTCCTACCTACCTCACTGAGTAGTAATTCAGTAATTTACTGTCTATCATATTATGTTAAAGAAGGTTCTGTGTTAATATCTTTTCAGAATTAATGGAAAACACACTTTTCAGAAATGGAATATGCTTAATGCACATGTACATTTGACTTCTCTAAGAACTGTGTCAATAGCCTGGTAACCAGGGAGTAGCTGACACGGATAAATTTCTTACCTTCTGCTTGATTGAAGATCTGTTATGGTTCACATATTCCTAGCAACATTTGCCGATACTTTTAAATTCAAATGCAGTATTCTCCTCTGACTACTCATACTTTACTAACAAACTCAGCATTAAAAAAGAGGAAAAACTTCCGGATCTCCAAGTTCTGGACCTGGCTCTCCAGGAAATGCAGTGTTTCCTCAAATGACTTTATCATGCTACCTCAGCAACCCTTTAAAAATCTTTGACTTTCTATTAGTAATACTTTTTTTCATTATAAATATGCTGTTTAGTAAATCAAAGGCACTATGTTGCATTATATGAAACTATTTTCTCAGGCTAATTAAGCAGGGGTGCTGTCATTCACAGAGAAAGTTTATTTTCTTGAACTAAATAACAGAACTTGTAAATTCCCACTGATTTTCTTGAATCAAAAGAGCATAAGACAGTTCCCAGGTCTGGAGTACAAAAGCAAGTACAAGAAGGCTCAGTTCCCAACCTACTTCTCATCTTCAACAATACAAAACCATAATACTGCAACAGTAGTTCCTCT